AGCCCCGTCTGCCTGTCCTGCTTTACTGCACGAGGCGCGTTTCTCCATAGCCGTGGGCTCTAGCCAGCGTCAGCCCCGTCTGCCTGTCCTGCTTTGAGTCAGCATCCTCATCTAAGCACCCCACATGCCTGGGAACGTGGGCTGCTTTGGAGACATGGGTGCTTCCATTACCTGCCCCCATCCACCCCATGAGCCCACCCCAATCATTTAGAAGTGCATTCTTCTGAATTTTATAGCCCATTTCCTCTTGTTCTGCCTTTAGCGGTCATGCCAGACAGAGAGCCGTCTTCTCCTCGTGAGTTCCTCTTATCAGCCTGGGGACTGGTCTACTGAATCGTCCCTCAGCCTTCTCCAGAAGAATCAACTGCCCTTCCCTTGTTCTCACTACTCCAGTCTGTCCTGGGTGTCAGGGAATCCCAGAATGTTGACCTGGGCACCCAGTTCCAAAGCATGGAAGGTCTTATCATTCTCTTGAATCATCACAACAGTTCCTGGAAGGTGGTGAATCTTCTCACTCTCTACACGTACAAGAACAGAGCCAGAGAGGCCAAGGGACAGTCCAAGGCCACTTGGTTGGAGGCAATGTGTTCATGTGAGATGCCCTTGGTTTGACCCTTCGGTCAATTCTGTGCCTACGTAATATTCTAGATCTGCTTTACCCAAGTTCCAGTATCAAGGGCCCTGCTAGAGTTGCATTCTTCTCAGAGCTGAGATGCAGGATCCATCTGGCCAGGAACCAGTGGGTTGGCCCCCAGCAAGGCTTTTGGCCTTGTTAGGGCTTCAGTTGTGAAGATGAAAGGAGACGATTGGGCAGTAGGTATCCATTTCTAAGCCAAGGGAGTTGGATTGAGATAATTTCTAGGGTCATTTTGGCTCTAAAATTTTAGGACTCTGATAGTGACATTTCATGTTTGTTTTCTCCAATTAGAGTACAAGCTGTTTAAAGAAAAGGGGATTTGTCACTTCTGCTTTCTGTTTCATCCCCACCGGCCCCCAGATTGTGGCAACATCTTCCCATTGGGCTCCCCATCTGCCCCACCCCTCCTTTATGGTCTAACCCAACAGTGCACTTGCAATCACATATACTGCTGGGGAGTCCTTCCTTACCCCCAGTTAAGGCAGGATTTGTTGGCCCTGCACTTGTCATCTTTTCCAGGTTCCTAGCCTAACTATAGTAAGGAGCTCTGGTAGCATAGTGCCTAAGGCACTTGACTGCTAACCAGAAAGCTAGTGGTTCAAACCCACCAACCACTCCTTAGAGGGAAGGTTGGACAATCTACTTCCATACTGATACCGCCTCGGAAACCCAAGGAGGGGTCGCTATGAGTCGGGTCTGATTCGATGGCACATAACAACATCAACAACCTAACTAGTTAGACCCTTCTTTCTTAATATGAGGAGGCCTTTGCACTGTCTTTCCCTTCCCTCACTCCTGGGTGTCTTCTTGAATTCCTGCCCACCCATCAAGGTGCGTCATTCCTCTACCCCTCTCAGGAAGCTGTCCATCCCCAACCATTGTAGCTAGAAACATCTTCTCCATCTTCTGGATTCCCTGTGCCAGATTGCTCATAACCTACCTCTTTTTCTAGAAGAACTTTCAAAACATGTGGAAGGTAGCCTTTGTATTAGCAGACAGAAGGAAAGGTTTAGTGAGAGCCAGACCGACCAATCCCATGCCTACCACTTCCAGCTGTGTGGTCCGGAGCAGGCTGCTGTACTTTGGGGCCATTACGGGTCCGCTCTGTGAAATGGACACAGTGGTCCTTCTTTCTCAGGTGGCAGTGAGGATTAAATGAGAGCACTCCATAAAGGTGCCCTCCTTGTTCTCCCACGGTACGCGGTGTTTATCTTCCTCATGGCATCCCTGCCACACACATTATGGTGACCCCGCCCTCACAGCCATGGGTACCAGGAGACCTGAGACTGTTCCTGAATGAACCCAGAGTCTAGCACAATGCCGCAGATATCGTAAGTGAGTAGGACATTGGTGACCACGTGCAGACAACTGACTGGTGACCTTTCATGTGTCCCTTTTGTTTAGCAGCCTCAAGGCCATCTTTATGGACCAGTTGCAGGAGCCTAAAAGAGTATGTTCTCTTCTGAGCCTACCCTTCTCTAATTGATTTCTCTGCTGCTGGCTTAGGCTTGGAGAGCCCAATAGAGTACGCCATGGTCTCTGTACACAAGGCCTCCTGCATCATCAGGCTTTAAGAGTCTGCCTGTAGCCCACTGACCCACTGTGGCCCCTTCCCCTGGAAGTGGCTATCCATCGCCCCCCACCCCAGTCCCTCACTGGTGACAGAAGAATGTGGCCCAGCAGGAGACAGGCACACTGGTTGTTCTGGGAGGAGATCAAGAGGGCAAAAGTGGGGAGTCAGAGGCCCCTGAGACAAAAGGGCGGGAGACACTGAGAGGAGGGGCCTGAGCCTTCCTTTGAAACAGCTGCTGCTCACTTTAATCCTCTGGCTGTAGCTGGCTCTGTGAGGAGGAAGCCCTGGGGTGGGTAGGGGGCAGGGTGGAGGCCCAGCTCACAGGTGGGATGGGAGTCCTAAACATCACCTTGAACTCTTGTGACCTGTCTGTCCAGCTCACCATGTGCTGAAGTGACAATGCCATGCCAGGCTTCTAGTGTGTTTGTACCTCTGACCTGGAGTTTGGGTGCTAAAGAGGTCTTGGGGCCCTGATACTGCGTTTCTGTATTTGCTTGTATTGAATTCACTGGTGGACACACCTTCTCTCCAAAGTAGTATCTGGTGTCAGATCCTTTGTGTCTGGATGGCTTTTGATTTTTGAAGTCAATCTAAGTCATTTGGAGGCATGAGCTGAGGAGGTCAGCAGGCCATCAGTGCAGGCTTGAATATGGGGCAGGAAGGGAAAGACACTTGGCTCCCACTGACTTGTTCTCCTTGCTCGCTCCATGGCCCCCTCCCTAAGCAGAATGCATTCCTCTATGCAAATGTGTGTTTAGAATTTTGTAGGATCCCCTGGAGTGCTCTGTCCCTGGCGGGTCTGCCTTTGGGGACAGAGGAGTCTGGCCTGCTTCCCCCCATCCTCTGTGTGGCCAAATTAGTGGTTCAAAGGGCTCCACTTTGGAGGCCCTGTTCTCTCTGCCCAGATGGACAACTGGAGCTGGTTATCAGGTTGGCGTCGACTGGGGGTTGGCTCACTTGGTTGTCTTGGAGTCACCAGGTGAACCTGGGTTTCTGGTGAGGCTCAGTGACCACACTGTCCTTTTACTTTTCATGTAGGTCCTTCAAGAGGAGTGATCCTGTTAATCCGTACCATGTAGGTTCTGGCTATGTCTTTGCGCCTGCCACCAGCGCCAATGACAGTGAGATCTCCAGTGATGCACTGACTGATGATTCCATGTCCATGACAGACAGTAGTGTGTAAGTATTCTGGGGTCTCCACCACGACATAATTGGGAGTGAGAACCACCAGGCCGGATGTGCAGAACCATCAGCCATCCTCACCTGGTTATGCAAATCCCAGCTGTGTGTGTATGACATTTGTTTGGTGGGAGGGGAGTGGTTCAGTGGTGTGGGGGTGGATAAAGGGGATTGGCATGGCAGTCTGGGTAGTGTTAAGCTTACAGCCTTGAAATGTCAGTTGGATGATGCCTTAACAGAAGAAAACTAACCTAACAGAAGAAGACTTCTACTTAAAGTTGTTGTTGTTGTTGTTGTTATGTGCCGTCGAGTCGGCCCCGACTCATAGCGACCCCTCCTTGGGTTTCCGAGGCAGTATCACTACGGAAGTAGGATTGCCCAACCTTCCTTTCGAGGAGTGGCTGGTGGGTTTGAACCGCCAGCCGTCTGGTTAGCAGGCAAGTGTCTTAGCCACTATGCTACCAGAGCTCCCCTACTTAAAGTAGAAGGTTAAGATGATTCTCTGTAGATTCCTTGAGTTAAAGGGGGCAGGGGGAGTATGGTTGTTTATTTTTGCATCTTTCATCTGTGCAGAACCAACAGGTGGGAGACAGGGTGCCATTAGAAGAGGTTCTGTTCAGAAGTTAATTGCTTTTGGAGGAAAAGGCATATTGAAGGTGGGGGTAAGGAAGCCAGAGCCCTCTACAGGGTGACTGTGTGTGTGTGATGTTCCCATATGGATACCTTCCAGTAGACATTGTTGAATTCAGTAAGTGTTGGTGGGTGCCTACTGTGTCAGGAATTGGGGACCCAAAGTTTGGGCTTCCTGCTTACAGTCACACTCATTGACATACCTTCTCTTCAAAGTAATGCCTGGTCTTAGATCTTTTGCGGGTGGATGGCTTTCATTTTTGAAGGCAGTGTAAGTCATTTAGTGGTGTGGTCGGATGAGGTCAGCTCAGGTCGGGTGATGCTCTGGGTTTAGGTCACTTGAGGTCAAGCTGTATCGATCTCTTTGGGAGTGGAGAGCAGCGGTTCTCTGCAGAGGGTGGCCTGGTGTCCCCTTCTCTTGCCATCCTTTGAGATTCTAATTCTGGACAGCTGGGCTTGGCCATGGGCAGAACTCCCCAAAGACTTCTCACCCAGCAGCCAGCTGAGAGCCACTGTTCTAGATGTGATCTTTGCAGGCTTTTCCACAGGTGTCTTGGAGTAGAAATTTCACCTCCTTTGGTAACGATTTTGAAAGGCAAGCCTGTGTAAGTTCTGATATTATTATTTCGAGTTTCTGCCTTTTTCCTTTCTAAAACTATACCATCTATTCTTCTAGTTTGTTTGAAATGATGTGGTTTCTATTGGTCAGTGTCTTATTGTTTGGCCTGTGGCATAAAACCAGTTGGAAGGAAAATCTGTGAGGTTCTGGACTCTACTCTGGATTTTCCTTGTGACCATTATTGTGTTAACCTCAGATTCCCCTCTTAATAAAGGGAGAGAGATCCTTAAAGTGAAAGACCAAAAAAAAAAAAAAAAAAACTCACCACCATTGAGTTGATTTCAACTCATAGCGACCCCCCATTGGGTTTTTGAGGAGGTATATCTTTATGGAAGTTGATTGCCCTATCTTTCTTCCATGGAGCAGCTGGTAAGTTTGAACTGCCAACCTTCTGGTTAGCAGTCAGATGTCTTAGGTGCTGTGCCACTAGGGCTTCTTTACAGTGAAAGGGTCAGTTTGAATAAAGCATTTTGACATTAGTGAAAATAGAATAAGAGTATACATCTTTCACCCAGTACAGAGACATGAGGGCTTCAACAGAAGTGGGTTTTCCTTGGTGATTGACTCTATTTAAACATCCATAGTTGGACGTATTTCTTAAAATAATTCATGTTGCTCTGTCTTCATTAAATAGCAGCAGGTAAAGCATTCATTTATTGCTTGGTGATCCAAACAATTAGTATCACCATCTGTTTCCACACTGTCCTGTAGTATTGTCTCTTGGGCTACAAGGTTACATGGGGCTCTGTGTCTCTGCACATAGTGGCGGCCTTCCCTCTTTAAAATAGCTTTGTTTTCTTTGTGTCATTCCACCTGCAGTGATTTTTTGCTGCTGTCTATGCTTGCTTTCAGCAGCATCACTCCTTCAGCTTTGATTGATCTGTGCATTGCGTGGAAGTCTTCACATTATGTGTAAAATAAGAGTAAGTTGGATTTGAATGAGGGCATTGAGTGAAGCTACTAGATGTAGTTCAGTTAAGACTGCAAGGCTTCTGTTTAAGTTTCTTAGAGACTGTTGTTGGCTTGCTTCCTGGCCTTTGGCTATATTTCTGTCCCCATCATAGGGGTGTTATTGTGGGTTCATGATGAGAAAACTTGGGTGCAGTCCCCTTATGTGTTCTTGTTTGATTCTCACAAGACCTACTTAGAAAGGCAGGCAGTTCTTCGTGATTTTTTTTTTTTTAAACAGAGGAAGAAGTGAGGCTCCATGGCTGTTCGTGCCAGGCAGAACTCGGATCCAGGTTCTGTGCGTTCTGGATCAGGCCACACATGGTCCCCTGCCCTTGGCCTGGTCCTCTCCCCAAGCAAGAACATTTCTGACAGGAGATGTGTTCACAGGGCCAGTTGGTGTGGTGACTGTTGAGCCATGTGGGGTTTCTTGTATTTTTATGGATTATTAGATCACTTTCTTCTTTAATGGGTTGAGGGGAGGAGTTCACCCCCTCATCCCCATTCATTCTGCTTCTTCAAAGCTCACAAGCCCCTACTCTTCTTCTCCCCAACTGAAGGACTTTGTGGGCTTTTGAAGCCCTGGAAAGCCTTTTAAGAGGGTTCAGAAAAGTGACCTTTGCAAGTCAACTGTTCTAGGTAAAACAAGGATTGTGGTGAGGACCAGTAAGATCCACTTTGACAGAGAGTTAGAAAAAGACAAATTCCTCACTTAGCAACTTTCTCTTTGTGGCTAGAAAGATACCCTTGGGTTCCAGGGTGGCAGAGCCTCTGGTCATTGTAAGCTTCTCCACGGAGTAGCTGCCTTGGGTTGGTGATGAAAAGTACCCATGCTTGGGGACCTGAGTGCACATGGCATCCTTACTATCTTGGGCACAGCCAGTCTTCCCAAGAGCATGGGGTGATTCTGAGCCCTCTCCTAACCAAGTGGGGAGATGTGGCCATCTTGGTTGTACCCATGTGGAGCCCATTTCTCATCTGTGTACTGCCATCCTTTCTTGGGAGCTACTGGCCCAAGTCCAATTGCCGCATTCTGCCTGTAGTCAAGGACAAAAGAGTCTTGGAACGAAAGCCCACCGGCTGGGGTGTATGTTTGGGCTTGGATGTCCCTGTGGGTCTCAAGCTGCTACCAAGGGCTGGGCACAGGGAGTATTGGGAGCCCTCCCCACTCTCTCACCAACAGGCTTGGCATGAGCTAAAAGCCCGGGGTCATGCGAGGCGCTTTCTAGCCGGCTGGCCCCGGGTGTGTATGATCTGCCCGGTGTCGGCCGGGTCACCTGGGATTCCCAGGGCTGGGATTAGACCCTCTCTTCCGAGCACTGCCAACTGGGGGCCTTGCACAGATGAGTGCACGGAGCGAGAAAGAAAGTGTGTGGGGGATGAAAAGCTGAGCTGAATCGCTTTCAGCCCATTGTTCGTCGGGAAGCTTAGAGGGGATAAGAGGGTAGCAGGCCCCTTTGAAATTTCCTTGAACAAGTGAATAGGAGCGCCCCATATAGCATGAAAAGACCCTGGCTGTTCTCCTCTGTCACAGTGGGCCGAGGGCTGGGGGGCTGGGGACTGGGGCTGGCGGTGCTGCTGGGAGCTAGGAAGGGGAGCGACTGGGGAGGGGCAGGAGAGGGGGTCACAGGCGGCCTTCAATAGACTCCAGAAGGTTTGAGTTCATTAGACACAAGCCCAGGGAAGCAATCATCTCATTGGCGACAGAACCAATTAAGTCCCTGGGGGCCTTCACAGGAGGCCCGGTAGAAGTTGGGGCAGGACCGTCCGGCACTTGGCTCTTCTTCAGCAGGGCCTGGACGTCCAGACAGACAGACAGGGACTTGGCGGAACTCATTTCCTTTCCCCACAGCCCGTTGCTGACTTCTGCTTCCCTGTGAAGTAACAGGCTCTGTTAAAGATGGCTGGGGATTTGGGCCTCCACGTCGTAGGCCTCAGAGAAGGGAGTTTTACGAGCCTGATACTTTGCAACCTGTACTCTCAGAAGACAGGGCTTTTTAAGTTTTTTAAAGTTCACTTCCAGACTCCCAGCAAAGCCTAAGCTCCAGTCCTTGGAGTGTCGGGGGCAGCACGATTGACAGGCCATGGCAGGGCCTCAGGCTTAAGAGGATAAAGCCAGGCGACTGGAAACCTCAGAAATAGGGCCTCTGCCACCCAAGCATAGCTTTGCCGGTTGAAGATTGCCAGAGCCATGGAACCCGAGTCCGTGTGGAGAGAGGCTTCCCACTCTCTTTTCTCTCTGCTGATTTGCCCCTTTTTTCCTGTTTTAAAAACAGCCTTACTGGGATCTAATTGACATCCATTAGATTGCACGTGTTTAAAGGGTAGTTTTGACACGTGCATATACCCATGACATTACCACCATGAACAAGATGGTAAATAAATCACCCCGTTGTGGCTCCTCCCATCCAACCACTGTTCCACATGCTGTCACTACCAAAGAGTCAGGCGCGGCTTGGTGTGTGGGCAGCTTCTGCTCTGGGCATCCCCAGGTCGGCACAGGATCACTGCCTGGTGTTTCACGCAGGCAGACGGCCCAGGCTGGGTTATGGATTTATTTTCGTTACCTTCTGTCTTATCTGGGGGTCTACTTTGCATACCCAGGAATGCATCCAAGAGACCTTCAGACAGCACCTTGTTTTACAAACCAGGCTTTGGAGGTTGGTGTGACCAGAGGCCCCCTGTGGAGTGGTTGCCACGTGAAGATGCCAGTGGCCCCATGTACCTGTGGGCCTGCGATTTCAAAGTTGCCGGTAAAAGGTGCTCAGGTTAGGGTGGGCGTGGCGGAGTCCAAAGGCTAAGCTAAGTGGCTCAGCTTGAGTGGCAGCTAACTAGGGTCCACGCTTCCAAATCAGTGCTCCCCAGACACAGCTGGGGCTGGCAGCAGGCCTACGAGCTGAAGCGTTTACAATGAAAGGAGCCGGTGTAGGGATGGAGACACTGGTACCCTTCAGCCCACAGTTTGGAGAAGCTGATCATAGACTCTCAGAGCTTGGGTAAAAGAAGAGGGCTCTTCTGGGCTGAAGGCCTGTTTTGGAAGAAGGTTCTTGGCTTGGGGAATCAAAGCCATATTTCTTGAGGGTGCCTGTGGAGCCTGCTGGAACATCCACAAGTTGAAGTCTCCCTTTCTGCTCTGGAGACAAGCTCCCTACTGTTGAGTCCTTCACTGGCCCTGGTGTCATAGTGTGTTGGGGAGGAGTGCTTATCAACCATTTACTTCTCTTGCCTTCAACTGGTCAGGGACACCACCTTGACCAGTGGTGTCCATCTGGGAGGAAAGGAAGGAGAAAAGAGCCAAGGTGGAACACCAGGAGGAATCCTGGGAAGAGGTGAAGGTGGACTCTTCCAGGACTCTTGAAGCCCTTTTTGTTTCATGGTGGGCCATGGGGGGGGGTGCTTGACTCCTGTCCCCCAAGATTTTCAAGAAGAGGGCTAAAGGGAGAGCCTCCGCCCTCTCGGTAAGCCAGGAGAAGGCAGTGAGCATTGTCTTGCAGCCCTGGGGCAGCAGCTCTTGTTTGGGACAACTTGAGAATCCAGTCCGTGGAAACCCCCACCCCTACCTGTAGGAGATTCCAGGTGAGAGAGAGGGGGACACTCACTGCTACTTGATAACTCTAAGGCACGCCCCACAGCCAGAGTACTAAGTGTAGGGTGGGGAGGACTTTCCAAACCATCCCCCAAATTTCCCAGTCGTCCCTTCAGAATGTCATGAGACTCCTTGGGGCTTGGGAAGTGGTACCCCAAGTTCAGCAGGAAGCCTGGGTCTAGCTGGGCCGGCAGGGGGTGTGGTGGGATGGGTGGGTGGACATCTTGAGATGAATGAGGGTCATGAGTGTAGGTGGTTGATGTAAAGACGCCAGTTCTGGAGTCTGACCGTGGCTTGGATTTGAATCGTGAATCTAACCGCTACTGACGGTGACTTCAGACAAGGGAATGAGCGTCTCTGGTCATCTGTAAGATGTGGTTGGTTAATCAGGGTGCTTGTGAGAGCTGGGTGGGATTATACGTCGAGGCCTGGACCAGGGTCTGACCCACAGTAGGATCTCGGAAAATGGGAACTGCAGCTCCTGTGGGAATCATGCCTTGGGTGGGCTTTGCTGCTGGTCATGTTAGAGCACCATGGGGCATTTTCTCCCATGGAGGATAAACCATCCCAAGACAGAGACACTGAGTTTTGATAAATAAACTTCATGTGGCTCAGCAAGTTGCCAGGATTTAGCACTTTTTATCCCACTGCACCATCAAAGGCAGGGCACGTGCCAGGCCTCTGTGACCAGGAGCTTGACTGGGAGAGTTGTGAGTTCTTGCTTTAGATGTTGCTCTGCCTAGCCCCTGAGCCCCTCAATAGGCATTATCCTTTACATGCATCTTCGTCACCAAAACCAACCTAAACCCATTGCCATTGAGTCAATTCTAACTCATAGCGACCCTACAGACAGAGTAGAACTGCCCCATAGGGTTTCTTTATGGAAACAGAGTGCCTCATCTTTCTACTGCAAGTGGCTGATGAGTTTGAACCACCAACCTTTTGGTTAGCAGCCAAATGCTTTAACCACTGGGCCACCAGAGCTCCTCCTCTTTGTCAAGGTTTGGCTAACCTAGATTGGTGGGTTGATCTGCTGTGATTGTCATTGTCCCTACCGTGGCCCTCTTCTCTAGCCTAGGCCAACAGACCTCCAAAAATTGCAGTTCCTTGGAATTCTAGAGCATCATAGATAAGGAGCTAGAGGTTGGCCCGTTACCCCGGCTGCTCCCTGGGTATGTTCAGGCATTGCTGATTTCTACTCAGGACAATGAGCCAAAGGCATTTTCCTCCCTTCCACTCTGTTCCCACCCTACCGTGAACAAACAACACTAGGGAAGGGGGGGGATAGTCAGACACCCCATTTCAGTATTTCCAGCCTGTGAGTTTGAGTCATGCCATGGCCCTAGTGGCTCACCTAACTCAGGGTTTTGTAAATAAGTGGCCTCTGGAAGAACGTCAGTGAGAAAACAGTTACACCTTTGACCATCTGACTGCTTTTACGAATGAAGTTCTTTAAAATAAAAACTGTGGCGACTCCACATCAGGCTTTTAGTCAAGACTAGGTAAGGAGGAGGCCTTGCCTTTCAACTGCTTCTACTTGCTACTTTTACTTTTCATAACGATGACGGACATAGGAGTCCATACTTCCTTCAGGTCTTTGCTCGGATGTCACCTTCTCAGTGAGGGTTTCACTGACCACCCTGTTTAAAACTGCAGCCCGATCCCCCATGCCCCCTGTGCTTCTCCCTCCCTCTTTCCTGCTATATATTTCATATACACCTTCCAACATACAGTAAGGAGCCCTGGTGGCACAACGATTAAGCACTCAGCTCTAACGGAGAAAGGCCAGCGGTGTGGACTCAACAGTGGCTCTGCTTCTGTGCAGGTTACAGCCCAGGAAACCCTCCAGGGAGTTCTTCATCATGTGGGGTTGCTGTGCTTGAAACGGACTTGATGGCACCTAGCAACAACACATACTATGCTTACTGCCGGTGTTAGCTGTTAGAAATATGCTTCACGAGGGCTTTTTTTTTTTTCTTTTCCCTCCTGTATTCACTGCTCTCTGGCCCAGAGACTAGAGCAGGGTGTGGCACTCCCTAGGTACTCAAAAGAAAAAAAAAAAAGAATGAATTGTACTGAATGCACGTGGTGGGTGGGCATGTGTCTGAGAACTAATGGTTGAGGGTGGTGGGGCGTGAAGCTGAGAGAAGGAAGGAGCCAAGAGATACCCTTGTGGTGGCTTATAAGGAAATGTGGAAACAGCATGGAGACTGACCATTGGAGAATTCTGCATACCTCCCGTGCCTGGAGTAGCCTCTGTGGGTTTGGTCCAGACCCCTATAGACTTTTGCCCTGGTATGCTCTGTGAGGCCCTGGTTCCTCAACTGGGGGCAGTGTGTCAGCTGTGGAAGCGAGCAGATGGTTGGGAGAACTAAAAGGACCTTAGAATCTCCTGTTCTAGGAACTTGGTAAATAATGGGGCCTTTACTCTGTCTAGATCCCTGGGTGGTGCAAATGGTTTGCACTTGACTGCTAACCTAAAGGTTTATGGTTCAAACCCATCCAGTGATGCCATGGAAGAAAGACCTGGCAATCTGTTTCCATAAGATTACAGCCAAGAAAACCCTATGGAATGCAGTTCTACTCTAGGTCCGATAGGTCACCGTCAGTGGGAATCAATGCCATGACAGTAGGTTTGGTTTGGGTGTATTTTTTTGTTTTCACTCTATCTGGGCTTGTTGGAAGGAGCTCTAGTGGTGCAGTGCCAAGGCATTTGACTGCTAACCAGAAGGTTGATGGTTCAAACCCACCAGCCGCTCCATGGAAGGAAGATGAGGCAATCTACTTCTGTAAAGATTTACTGCTTTGGAAACCCACTGCACCTTCAAAGGCAGGGTACATGCCAGGCCTCTGTGACCAGGAGCTTGACTGGAAGAGTTGTGAGTTCTTGCTTTAGATGCTGATCTGCATAGCCCCTGAGCCCCTCAGTAGGCATTATCTTTTACATGCATCTTAGTCACTAAAACCAACCTAAACCCATTGCCATTGAGTCAATTTCAACTCTTAGTGACCCTATGGACAGAGTAGAACTGCCCCATAAGAGTTTCTTTATGGGGTTCACTGTGAGTCAGAATTGACTTGATGGCAGTGGGTTTTGGGGTTTGGGGCTTGTTGGGGTATAACCCAGTTCTGAGACCAGGAATGTAGAGAGATGAGCCGACCAACTCTTTCCAGGTTGATGCTTCTGCATCTGAGAGGGAGCCATGTTTCTGGAGATGACGGACGGTCTTAAGTTTGGTTTGGCAGTTTGCCCTTGGCTCAGTCGCTCCCAGCATGGAGGACGGTGGCACCGGTGATGCGTAGTGTACTCCTGTGGAAGTGTGGCCCGACTATGATGGGGGCTCAGGAGGGTGCATGCTCCAGCCTACTGCCGAAAGCCCCCTAGTGAGCCTGCAGGTTCTCTTCTCTTTTCCCTTAGAGATGGAATCCCTCCATACCGCGTGGGGAGTAAGAAACAGCTTCAGAGAGAGATGCATCGCAGCGTGAAGGCCAATGGCCAAGTGTCTCTACCTCATTTCCCGGTGAGTCTTAGGCTGGCGGGGGAGGCAGTGGTTTGCAGCCATGTTGAGTCTGGAAGAAAAGGGGGGGAAGGGGAAGGCCTCGGGCAGGTAGGAGAAGCCAGCAGTATGAAGGTCCCTGAGGGGAAGGGGAACCAAGGGTTGGACTGGGTCAGAGGTGTTAATGATTGGTTGGGACATCAAGTTGAGCACAGACGTAGTTATGAGGCTCCAGATGACCTATGTGACCCGTTACATTTTCTCAGTTCAAAAAAGAAAATGTTTGTGAGAGAAAGCAAAGTACTTCCTTGGAAACCCAGAAATACTGAGAGACAGTCCATGCTTCAGAGTGTGGTCTGCTTATTGGTACAGACTTCAATAGAACGGAAGCCCCATGAAGGCAGGGGTTTTTGTTTTACTGTATCCATAGGAACAGTGCCCGACACATCATAGGTGCTCAGTGAACACTTGCAGAATGAGCGATGAGGCTGGAGGCCTTGCCCTAGGACATCTGCTGCTTCTGTCTGCTCCGTGGCCAAGTCATTTCCGTCAGCCACTTCCCTGTTCACTTGACCATCTCTCCTGCTGACCCCAGAGGGCAGCTACTCCATCTTGTCTGTTTCCAACCCCAGAACCCCAGTACCTGCTGTGGAGTCTGTCTAACACATGCAGAATGGGAGCGGTGTCTGGAAGTGAGGGTCACATGAGTGGCTTCTGCCTGCGTTTGAGAGGCTAGGTGGGCTTGCTGGGGAGGACTTCTCGAGGTTGGTGGCATGTGGCTCCTGGGCCCGAAAGCCTCGCTCTTCATTCCTGTCTCAGAAGCTCTGCTTCTTGCCCTGTTCTAAGAGCCAGGTTGCAAGGAAGCTCCCGTTCAGAGGGGTAGAAGACCACCCAGTTTAAAGCAGACACCTCTGCTTATGAATCCCGTCTGCCAGCTTCAGAGAATCCAGTTGATCCATCCAGCGCTTAGGAAATTAACACATGGAACCACTCAGTCCATCCGGTGTTAGCAAGGGATGTTGCTGGAATACTTCCTCTCTGAAAGCCCCTCTCACCGACGGGGACGGACTTACCTATCTTTTTTTTTTTTTTTTTAATTGAGAAAACTTGAGGTTGCTTTTCTGGGGCCTTCCAGCAGCTTCCCCCAACAAACACCCCCCAAATACACCAGTGCTGATATATGAGAGTTGGGTGGGGTTTTTCCTTTTTGGACTGGGGTGTATATATGTGCTATCACTCAGGCCTGTAAATTAGATGGTTTTGTCCTGGCTGTGCCAGTGGACTTCCTCCACAAGGTAGCGCTTTGATCCAGGGCTGATGGGCAGCCTGAGTGGAGACAGCCCTTTCCTATGGAGGCACCGCTTGTCCCCTCACATGTTTCTGCTGCAAAGTGTTCGCAGGGGCAAGCCTGGCTGGGGTTAAGGGTGGCCTTTGCAGGTTGACCTTCTGCTCCCCAACTCCCACCCAAAGAGTAGGGCCAAGTGAGAGGGGGAACCGAGGAAGAGGAGTTTGCAGACCGAGGAGGTGGGGGGTGTGTGTGTGTGTGTGTGTGCGCGCGCGCGCGCGCGTGTGTGTGTGTGTGTGGAGGGCCGAGATGACAGGAAAGGGACCGAAAGGCGGCGGCGGGGGCTCTCTGTATTCGCTGCTTTTGGCAGGCGTGCCCGGTGCCTTTTCATATTCCGTACTTGAATTGGAGATGTTCCTTTTTCCCTTGATAGTGGGGCTTGAGGCAGCCGAGCTCAGCAGTGTTCTGCTCCTAGCCTGCAGCGGCTCTCTTCAATTTCTGTACAAAGAGATGGGAGGAGGGGTGGCGGAGAGCCAGCGAGATCTAGGACGGTGTTGAGACAACACCACCTCAAAGGTGCGCAGTGTGCAGCCAGGAAGTAAATTACCGCTTCTCCTCTGATCCGCAGCCGGCGGACTCTTTTTTATCCATTTTCCGCCCCCCCACCTCCCTTCCAATCTTATTTTTTTTTAATTTCCAACTCTCTTTCTGTTTAGACTCTACTTTTTATTCCTTGAGTTAGTCTCTTCCTCCCCTCCCCACGACGAAGGGCTGCTTTTTTTTTTTCTTTTTTTTTTGATGTGTGACAACAGTCTTTGAAGATTTTCGTCTTCAGAGTAGCTACTGATGGGCTGGTTGTACTACAGAGAGAACAAGCCGGGCCTCTCGGAGTGCGACCAACTGCTCCTGCCCAAGGCAAACGCTGGTGGGGACCATGGCTCTCCATGAGGCCACGGTGCAGCCACATAAAAATCCTGAGCAGCCCCGGCCGCTTTGCCATACGCCTGCCATCCGAACACCGGGACGTGGCCAGCGGTGCGGGGCCTCAGGAGCTATTGCAAAGCTGCCCCAGCCTCCGTGCACCAGGCATGCTAACCATGGCGTGGCCCTGTCTTCCCCGTGCCCTGTAGAGAACCCATCGCCTGCCCAAGGAGATGACGCCTGTGGAACCTGCTACCTTTGCTGCCCAGCTGATCTCCAGGCTGGAGAACCTGAAGCTGGAGCTGGAAAGCCGCCACAGCCTGGAGGAACGGCTACAGCAGATCAGAGAGGTAGTGCTGGGCGCTGGCCTCCACCCCGGGGCCGGGCCGGGGAGAACGTCAGCTCTGGGCAGGCCGCTGGCTGCGGGGGTTGGTCCCTAGAGCAGAGGAGCCTGATGCTCACCAGCCACGCCCTCCTCTTCCAGGATGAAGAGACGGAGGGGTCGGAGCTGGTGCTGGGCTCACGGGAAGGGGGTCCCCCGCAGCACCCCCTCTCCCTCCTGCCCTCCGGCAGCTATGAGGAGGACCCGCAGACGATTCTGGATGACCACTTGTCGAGGGTCCTCAAGACCCCTGGCTGCCAGTCACCAGGCGTGGGCCGCTACAGCCCCCGCTCCCGCTCCCCAGACCATCATCACCACCACCAGCACCATTCCCTCCTCCCACCTGGGAGCAAGCTGCCCACCTCGGCTGCCACGTTGGCCAGCTGCCCTCTGCTGGGGGGCAAGGGCTTTGTGGCCAGGCCAACCACAAAGCATGTCCACCACCATTACATCCACCACCACACGGGGCCCAAGACTAAGGAGGAGGTTGAGGCTGAGGCCGCTCAGAGGGTACACTGCCTGTGTTCGGGGGGCACCGAGTATTACTGCTACACCAAGTGCAAGAGCCATCCCAAGGTGCTGGAGCCCATGCCGGGGGAGACATTCGGGTGAGTGTCATCAGACCCTGCTGCCCCGCTTTGGGCTTCTCCCAGCCGGCACCCGGGGTAGGTCTGATGTGAGGTCAGGGGCCACAGGCATTTAGCTTCCAGGAGGGAGGCGGAGGGCAGGGCAGAATGGGGGGGGGGAGGGTAGGGGCAGCAGGTGCACCCCTCCCCCACCACTTTCCTAGTACCCCGTTTGAGGAGCCCCGAAATTTAACGGGCTCTCTGGGTCGGTGTGGTTCTTGGTTCCCCACAGCAGCAGCAGAGGCAGTACCTTGCCCAAACGGAGTGGGAAAGGCACGGAGCCGGGCCTGGCCCCGCCCACCAGGGAAGGAGGGGCCCCAGGTGGGGCTGGGGCGCTGCAGCTTCCTGGGGAGGAAGGAGACAGGTCGCAGGATGTCTGGCAATGGATGCTGGAGAGCGAGCGGCAAAGCAAGCCCAAGCCCCATAGGTAAACGCCCGCCCACCGCGGCCACCGCGAGGGTCAGCACAGTCAATACTGAGGTATCATGGGATGGCTGTTTCTGCAGCCGGCTGAAAACAAATGGGACTGTTTGCTCCTGCCATCTTAATAGTAGATGCTGGACTGAGCAGACCACAAAAATGTCATGTTTTGGCAACAGCCCTTGCTCGTGTGAGGGTAGAGCTGTTTTCCTCTCCCTCTCTGAGAGCAGAATAGAGAAGTTTCTGTTGAAGTCACATTTTCCAGTTTTGCTAACCCAATTCCTTTCCTTCTGCTTCCTCTCTCCTCATTCCTCGTTCAGTGCCCAAAGCACAAAAAAGGCCTACCCTGGGGAGTCTGCCCGCATCGCTCCTGGAGAACAGCGAGCCGGCCGGCACCATCTGTGGGGGGCCAGCAATGGGCACCCCCGTGCCATCCCCCGGAACCACCCATTCACCCCGGACCCTGCCATGCCTCCCCTGACCCCACCCAATACCCTGGCACAGCTGGAGGAGGCCTGCCGCAGGTTGGCTGAGGTCTCAAAGCCCCCAAAACAGCGGTAAGTGGATGGCAGGTGGTCCAAGTGTCAAATCAGAGGGTTAAGACAGTGGTTGGGTTTGGAGGTAGAGAGCTGGCCTGTTCTTAATGGGATCAAACCAAATCAGTTGCTGTCGAGTTGAATCTGACTTACGGCGACCCCCATGTGTCAGAGTGGAACCATACTCCGTGTGATTTTCAGATGGATGATGTTTTGGAAACAGACCACCAGGCCTTTTTTCCAAGCACCTGTGGGTGGCCTCAAACCTCCAACCTTTTGAACAACCAACACATTAACCATTTGTACCACCTCCTAAGGGGAAAGACCCTCCTTTTTTGCCTGGGCCCTGAACATTGTCAGGCACGAGTTGCTTAAGATTCGCCCTTCTCACCTCTACATGTTGTCCTCTTTAGTTGTGTTGGTTCCATTGGTGTGAACTGGGATCCGTTCAGGCAGGTCATGCCTAAAAATAGGAGAGTGACTGTCACCAATTCGTTACCAAGTTTTCTCCCTGTCTCCATCATTGAAAGCCAAGTAGATGTGGGTCTGAGGAAGCCACACCTCGTGGGGAGTGATGACCCATCAGCCCTTTGTCTGGGCACCCAGAGGTGGCTTAGATTGGCCATTTCCAAGATGTCTTTCAGGCTTCCTTGTTGTTGGGTGCCATCGAGTCAATACTGACTCATAGCAAACCCGTGTGACAGTAGAACTGCCCTATAGGGTTTTGTAGGCTGTAATCGCCGTGGGAGCAAATCACCAGATTCTTCTGCAGAGCTGCTTGGTGGGTTTGAATCACCAACCTTTAGGTTTGTAGTTGAGCGCTTCACTCTTGCACCACCAGGGCTCCTCCAAGCGTCCTGGACCCATGTTAACATTTGGACTTGATTGGGTCCCACGAAGGTTGAAGATCAAGGTTGTCTGTCTTCAGGACCCCAGAAAGTGCTATTTTCTCTCTGTTCTCCAATTGCCTGGGGGGTGGTCACTAAACCCCTTGTCCTGGCTGTGTCCTCAGGTGCTGTGCAGCCAGTCAGCAGAGGGACAGAAACCACTCGGCCACTGGTCAGGCAGGAGCCGTGCCCTTCTGCACCCCAAGCCTGGCTCCTGAAGAGTGAGTGTCCTCACCTGGCTTTCCCGAGAGCCACTGAATCCACTGAGTGGGTTGCATTTCAGGGTGTTAGACATCTGGACATGCAGATGCATTTCTTTGAAACTTTTTTTTTTTTTTTTTAAACGACCTCTTGATTTTAACATGAGCAGCAAGGAATGCAGGTGTTGCCATGATTAAGAATCTTCAAACGACTGTGTTATGCATCACAGCTTGTGCACGAGTTTCCCTTCTTACTGGGATGAATGGGCTTGAGGTCCCTGGGCACACCTAGTCTCAGGCTGGGGTGTGAAGCCATCAGCAGGTGGGCAAAGGAGGCTCTAACTGGGGGTAGGAGAGTTGCCCTGTTCATCCTTGCAGGTCAGTGTGCCTAGAAACCTGTTTTGCGCACCTGAGCGGGAAGGTGACTTCCACCACTGCAGACACAGAAAGGGCTTTGTTTTGTGTTTGGAGAAGAAGGAATTCTTCCCTCACTGTTCCATGCTTCTCTGTATAGATTTACACACTCACACAGTGGACGGAGAAGACTGGCTTTGCTTAATTACAGGATGGTGTATTTAAGCAGAAATCTGCAACAGAGATCTAAAATGGCCTAAATAATTAAAGTTCTCTTCCTTTCCTTCTTCATCTTGGGCAATGAGCAATGTTAGAAGTCCTGACTAAGCCACCTCCCTGGATCCTTTCATTTTAACTGGTTGACCTTAAGTCTACCTGCTGTCTTAGGCTATCAGGTTTTTTGTTTTTTGTTTTTTAAGCCAAGCTACAGAAACAAATGTTGTTATTGTTGTTATGTGCCATTGAATTAGACCTGACTCATAGCGACCCCTCCTTGGGTTTCCGAGGCAGTATCACTATGGAAGTAGATTGCCCAACCTTCCTTTCGAGGAGTGGTTGGTGGGTTTGAACCACCCGCCTTCTGGTTAACAGTCAAGTGCCTTAAGCACTATGCTACCAGAGCTCCCACGAAAAAAAATAGGGAAGTGGAAATAACTGTGCAGGAACCCCAGTGAGCTCTGGGCATTCCAAGTTTTTGGAATCCCAGGAGGTGCTCTGGGCTCATCCCTAGATTACACCCTGTTGGGGCTGAGCACCCCACTTGTGCTAACCTGAAAGGCTGCTCTGGGCCCCCACTTGGTGGTGGTGAGGGAGATGGCATTGATTTGTCAACATAAAGGGAGTCGTTCCTCCCTGCACGCCCCGTGCAGCTGACATGGTGTAGACCAGGTGGCTGCCTCAGTTTCTCTCTGGAGACAGTGCCGGATGCCCTGTCCCCTTCTTGTGTGTGCGCTTGCTCTCAGCTACGGTGCTGAACTTGTTGCCTATCATCTTATTTCCAGCCACAAAGAGCCAAAGAAGCTGGCAGGTGTCCACTCGCTCCAGGCCAGTGAGCTGGTTGTCACTTACTTTTTCTGTGGAGAAGAGATCCCCTACAGGAGGATGCTGAAGGCCCAGAGCTTGACCCTGGGCCACTTCAAAGAGCAGCTCAGCAAAAAGGGAAATTACAGGTAAGATGCTGTGGCTTCTTTCAGTACGTTTGCTGAGGACCGAGAGCCAGAGGTGGGAGCAGCTCCCTGACCTTACTGGACCTGGGAGAGACCTTGGAGGGGCGAGGGAGCTCAGGGAGGGCAGAAATTGCTCAGGGAGGCTGCTGTGGGCGGTTCTGTGGGGTCCCGGCCTGGCCTTTTCCACCAGGTAAATACTTCTTTGAGGAAAAAGAGAGCAGTCTGCTTTTTCAGAAGGAGAGGTGGGTTTGGGCCATTTCGTGGGCACTCTACCTGAAAGGGAAGGAATGTGTGTGTGTGTGTGTGTGTGTGTGTGTGTACACACATAAGAGAGAGAGGTAGGCAGGCAGACGGACTGAGCAGGACGGCAGAGCTGAGAGCCCTGCCTTCCTCCTGGCCCAGGTCTAGGAGAGACTGTCCCTCCACAGCTAAAGTGCTGGGAAGGGCAAGACCATGCCTAGGCGACTGGGCACCCTTTCTGCTTGAAGGACTGCCTCATTCTGCTTGTGTCTGTTGTCGGGTCATTGGAAGCAGAGGTGTTCTTTTACACTTAACAGAGGAAAGGCAGGACCTACGGGTGGCAGGGTCTGTGGATGGGCATGGGTTGAATAGGGCTGACCACTCTCCCAGCCTTGGCCCCATTACCTTCCCCTCCCTGCTGGGCCCTTACTGAGGGGGGAGGGACTCCTTCCCTCTGCTACAGAGTGCAGACACCCATACCGGCTGCAGAGCCAGTGAGAGGAGCTAACCAGAAGAGGTCCAGCCCTGGCCATTTTACCTTTTCTTTCTCCTGAGTGAGGGACAGGTGATTGCTCCATCTTGGTCCACCCAGAGTCTCCCCTGCCCCTTCTCAGTGGCCTTCGTCCCACCAGGAAATGTGGATTCTGCCACAGTGCTGTCTCAGGTGCAGGGCTGGGACTAGGGTGTGGCCAGTAGGGTACCCCAAAAAAACCCCGAAAACACCCATTGCCATGTAGTCAGTTCCAACTCATGGAGGCGCCTTGTGTTACAGAGTAGAACTGTTTCATAGATTTTTCTTGGCTGTGATCTTTTCCAGAGCAGACTGCCAGACCTTTCCTACGTGGTGCCACTGGGTAGGTTTGAACCATCAACCTTTAGGTTGGTAAAACCAAACTCACTGCGTGGAAGTCAGATCCGACTGATAGCAACCCCTCCTTGGGTTTCCGAGGCGGGATCACTATGGAAGTAGATTGCCCAACCTTCCTTCCCAGGAATGGCTGGTGGATTTGAACTACCAGCCTTCTGGTTAGTAGTCAGATGCCTTAGGCACTACGCCACCAGAGCTCCCTTTAGGTTAGTAGTGGATCACAAACAGTTTGGGCCGCCCAGCAACCTTGGTGGGTGCCCAAGGAACACAATTCAAGGTGACACTTGCTCTCAGGCTTCTGCAAGTGCAGGTTGGCACCTAAGATGGGGACCCTTCTTGCACGGTGCCCTCGGCACTCCTTGGCCTCACTCTAGTCTGGCTGGTACAGAAACATGGTACATGCCCAAAAGGTGCCCAGCCATTCCTGTCTCTGGAGGCCCGGTGTGGGCTGGGGTGGTGGTATATGTGTGGACAGCTCCTGAATGCGCAGAGCAGCGGGGCAGGTGGGCCCTGCTCCCGGACACAGGCAAGGCCCCCTGCGGGGCCTCAAGACCTGTCTCTTCCAGGGCAGGCCCTTCACAGGCTTCCTGGCTGCCTTCATCTTGGCATTTATTTGGGCTGAAAGCAGTGCCTGGTGGGGGTGCAGGGCTGGGGCTAGGGCCGGGCCGGACCCTGTTGGAGGTTGACAGGCAGGGTGTGGCACTCTGGGCTTAGCTCTCTCCCTTTCCACCTGGGTGGGAAGGGTTCCGAGCCTCTATCAAAGGGACTGGAGAGCAGGCCTGGCCGCTGCTTCCTTCCTGAGCAGACATAGTAACACTCATTACCCAAGTGTAGCCCTCCACATCTTCATTTTGCTCTCAGCTTTAACTTGGCTGGACTGAGTGGACCTGCAGGGACCTTCTGGGAAGAAGGACCATGTAGCAGAGGGAGCCGGAGGCCATGGGGACGGCGCCTGGCCCAGCAGCTCTGGCCACATCTGGCTCTGGACTTTCTAAGGCTCACTTAATAAGCCTGGCTTTGATGCCCAGCCTCCCATTTAATGCACAAAGACTCACACAAATGGTCGACTCAGATTCTTCCCTGATTGGATCAGGCTGTGGCCGAGGTCCTGCCAGCCACCACCGTATCTCTGCTCTGCAGGGCCAGAGTCCCTCCCAGGGACCAGGGGGCGCAGGGTGCCAGGCTTGCCCTCCGAGCAGAGGCGGTACCCCATCATCTCAACTTGACACCGCCCACCCCCACCAGAAGACCCTAGGTGGGTGGAGCTAGGGGACCTGGGCCGCGTTGAGTAAACTCAACATGGCAAAGGGACAAAAAGCGAACATTTGCTCCAGGCGTGCCAGACGCTATTGGTGCCAGATGTCAGAAGAAAGCAGAGTTTGCCACATAAAGCATGTTGCAGTGGAAAAGCCAGTTTCTTGGGGGAAATGAGGGCAGCACAGGGCGTTTGAAGTCTTGGGGGTGGGGCTGAGGGAATGTTGCCTCTCTGCTCTCTGAAAGGAGGTGGCGATTATGTAAAAGGTCATTCCGTGTTTGCTCTGTGATGCCTTAAAAGGGGTGGCCTTAAAAGCCCCAGAGCAGTTGGAGTTGGGGGGCTTGAGGGCATGGCTGAGGGTGGGGTCAGGATCTGAGGCTCCTATTTGGGAATTGCTCATGTCCGCTGTCCCAGGTCTCCGGTGCCACGGTACCCCTCCCCAGTTTTTCGCTGCCTCGGGCTCTCCCATGTATTTCGATCCCCTGAACACAAATGTTTTCATCCCTGGCCCGTTAGAGCCGTGATGGCTGTCCACCCCTGGTGCCTTCGTTCAGCCGGGAATGCTAAGAGCAAAGTACCTTGACTAAACGCAGCTGTTTAGCCTTATCTCCTATGAAAGTATTTGGCTTGCTTTCATTAAAGAGGAAAAAAACTTAGCTTTAACCAAGGGGATTTTTTTTTTTTTTTAAAGGGAAAAACTGCAAAACAAGTCTAAACCCAAGACAATTACATTTTATCAGAGACGCTTGTCCCTCCTGGGGGAGGCTTTGACCTTTCCCCTGAAAATGGTACTTGCAGGAGCGAGTTTAATCTACCCAAGGGGTCTCCGTAGCTGGGGACAGAGAGAGCTCTTAGTTTATTTCTTTGAGAGGGGCCTGGGAGTGGGCCTGGCCGGAGAGGACAGCATTTGTTTCCAAGTGTGACTCCTGAGAGCTGGTCATTTGTACCCATACAATTAACAGCCTTAGAAGCAAGGACACTGGGGTGGGGTAACAGGAACCTTTACTCAAGGGGCATAATAGAAGGGCCCTTTGTGGTTTGACCCTGAAGCCGTGGGATGGGAGAGGCAGAGGGAAACGGGAGAAGGGGGTGCTGCAGGCTGGGGCTGTCTGCTCACCCACCCTGGCCAGCAGTATTGGGTTGGTCTGGCTCTGACGGTGGCCCCAAAGGAGGCAGCCTGTCCCATAGCTGTGCCATAGACGTGAGGAAGGTCGTAGCTAGGTGCTGAAGGGTGGAAAGGATGAGGTGTTGCCCTTTGGACTGATAACACTAGCTCAAAGTCTGGCTGAACCTGTAGCCCTGAGTCTGGGGCCCCTTTGAGGCTCTCTGCCCCTGGCTGCTGCTAAAAGCAAACTAGAGGCATGCTTGGCGCTTCCTCTCCCATACCCCCGTCCTGTTGTTGGATGCCATTGAGCCAGTTCTGACTCCTAGTGACCCCTTGTGACGGGAGAACTGCCCCATAGGGCTTCTTAGGCTGCGGTTTTTACAGGATCAGATCACCAGGTCTTGCTGTGGAGTCACCAGGTGGGTTTGAACCTCCCGTCTCTCAGCAGCTGAGCACCTGGCCGTCGCACCACCAGGGCTCCTACCCCCAGCTGATCCCTGCAAAAAGGGACAGAAGGAGCTACTCTGCAAAGTGTCCTTTTCACAACGTATGTGCATCAAGTGGCAGCAGAGACTCTGGGCTGAAGGCTGCAGACTCAGTTTGCAGGCAGGAGGCCCACAGGCTGCTTCCCCCAGCATGCCTTGCTGTTCTCCTAGGCACATGAGACCTTCCTGTTTTATGCCTCTGGACCAGCCCCAGTCGTCATCTTCAACTAGGAGGTCATAGATAGGAGCCAAGGTTCTCATGCACACCTCCCATCGCAGATGTTTAAGATGACTCAGTCCTCAACGTCACTTTTCTTTTAAACAATGCAGAAGATGCACCTTTATCCAGAAAGCTCACTTGGTTTTTCTTTTAAGGTATTACTTCAAAAAAGCGAGCGACGAGTTTGCCTGCGGAGCGGTGTTTGAGGAGATCTGGGATGACGACACGGTGCTCCCCATGTATGAAGGGAGGATCCTGGGTAAGGTGGAGAGGATCGACTGAGCCCTTCGGGGCCTGCTGTGGGGAACTGTCCAACTGGAGTCCACAGGACACGTCTTGGCCATGAGCAACAGCAACAAACTTGGAAGGAAAATTAAACCAATGAAGTCTGGGGAGAATTGGCCACTGGGCCTTTGGGAGGGTGGGGGGAGGTTGGTTTTCACTATTCACGAGCTGGGTACTGAGATAAGAAAGCCTGAACTATTTATTAAAAACATGACCACTCTTGGCTATTGAAGATGCAGACTGTATCTGAGAGACTTCGTACATCGTCTGTGACCTCTAGGGATCTGAAATCCATAAACTGAGAGAGACTGTATAGCTTATCTGAACAGAAGTCCTTATGGTATTTATTGAACAATTGATCCCCCATCCCCAGTTTATGGATATGCTGCTTCAAACATGGAAGGGGGAGAGGGTGTATTAGTTCTGTCTAAACTGAGGGCTGGAGCGAGGAGCGCATTAATAGTTTCGCCACTCGAAGAAGAACTATGCTTTGGCCTGTGTTCTGTCCAACTGAAGATAGACTTTTTAAGAAAATGGTGCCCTGCCATTTACACACGGAGAAATTGGTGCATATTTTTCTATGCTGCTGTATTCTGTCTTAAAGGTCTTGAGGGGCAACTGTGTTGCAACATCAGCACTGTTTGGGGATGTCCTATCTGATGGGGTGATCCATGGTGGTGGAGGTTGACGGGGGGCCTTACTGCTGAGGGGATGTCCTATCTGATGGGGTGATCCCATCGTGGTGGAGGTTGCGGGGGTGGGGTTTACTGCTGGTGGGATATCCTATCTGATGGGGTGATCCATCATGGTGGGGGTTGGGGGGACTTAATGGGATGTCCCGTCTGATGGGGTGATCCCATCGTGGTGGAGGTTGCGGGGGTGGGGTTTACTGCTGGTGGGATGTCCTATCTGATGGGGTGATCCATCATGGTGGGGGTTGAGGGGACTTACTGACAGCAGGATATCCTGTCTGATGGGGTGATCCCGTCATGGTGGAGGTTGCAGGGGGCAGGGTTTACTGCCGGCGGGATGTCCTATCTGATGGGGTGATCCATCGTGGTGGAGGTTTGGGGGGCACTTACTGTTGGTGCCCTGAATTCACTCTGTGATGGGGCTCCATATCTTGTAGCTCACCCCAGGCTCAGGGCCCAGTGCTTGAAGCCTGCTGGAGTCACCACCTTGTGGTTCAAACTTGTGCTTTTATTGACTAGTTGCTTGCTTGTTTTTCAAATTTGTTTTTGGACCACAGCCATTCAGGAAATGAGCCCCTGGCCCTGCACAGACGTGAGCAGTTGCGAAAAGACCTAGCAGCACCCTTTCCCCAAACACCTTCATTTTGATGTTCGGGTTTTTGTGTTAAGTTAATCTTACATCCTGTTTGCCATTTTTACCTTGTATTACATGTCTGTATATATTGTACGGCAAAAGAGTATTAATCCACTGTCTCTAGTGCTTGACTTTGAACCAGTACAGTACCTGTACCTGCATGGTGGTCCACGCCGTGAGTCGCCCTGTGTTGAGGGCTCAAGCTTCCCTTGTTTTTTGAAAGGGGTTTATGTATAAATATATTTTATGCCTTTTTATTATAAGTCTTGTACTCAATGACTTTTGCCATGGCATTTTGTTCTACTTATACTGTAAATTATGCATTATAAAGAGTTCATTTAAGGAAAATTACTTGGTACAATAATTATTGTAATTAAGAGATGTAGCCTTTATTAAAATTTTATATTTTTCAAAAAAAAAAAAAAACAAAAATAACCTAGCCTTGTTTTTGAATCCCAGGGGTGGGAGCAGCAGGACATGGTGGCCCTTGGTATGTGTGAACATCTGTGCTTCATTTCCCACCCTACTTGAGCCTCTCTCTAGAGACCTTGAGTCGTAAGGGATCTGGGCCTGCCCCGAGCTTTCCTAAGAGTTATTTCTGATTACGTGGCTCCTGATGGGGAACTCATGACAGAGCAGACTCAAGACGACAATTTCTTTGTTGTCTTCCTCTCTCTACCTCTCACTTTCAGACTTGCCCTCCCAGGAGAGGTCTCCAGTCAGGCCAGGTAGGCCACCAGGTGCTAAGGGACTGAGATGGGGTCCTCACAGGGGTACTCAAGTAATAGGTGTCTCTGAGGTGAAAAGCCTCAGAGGAAATGGGTTTATAGATGTGGAATGGGCAGGCTAATCAGCCACCCCCCATTCCAGGGCCTCTTCAGGGAGGATTTGGGCTGGTTAGGTGGCATGAGCAAACAGCAGGTTAGTTCAGGAAGAGAAGGGAGGGGCAGTCTGCCACACGCTCAGTGGACAGGTGTGTGGAGTATAATCAATGGTTCGCTCAACAAACATGCTTCCTCCCCGGGGCTGAGCACTGAGACATGGCAGGCTACATCTCAGATCTGGGGTAGCTGGTCTGTTTTAAGGATTCCTGTGATGAATCCTCTTTCAAAGTTGTCTGGGGGCAGTTGGGCTTGTGTTCTGGTCTGCGGAGTTCTCATAAAGTGAGTTTTCAGATGCCCTACATCTGGCTGCCTTTTCTGTTGCAAACTGGCTTTCAAGCTGCTGGTGGGTATGGCCAGGGTCCTTGCCTGCTGCTTGGAGATGCCCCTTCCTGTTGGCATGTGTTCTGGCTGCTGGGGGAGTCCAAGCCATCCCCCGCCACAAGAAGATGTGGGTAAGAGAGAAAGAAGCCGGCTTGGAGCAGGAGGAGCTCTTAATGCCCTTGAGCTTGCTCCTAATGCAGTGGTCGGGTCCCAGCACCACCCCTCCACTGGTGACTGTGGGTGAGGAGTTGGCCTCTCCTAGGCTGCACCTGTGAGACAGAGCTGGGCTCTTTGATCCGTAATGCTTCTACGTCTTCTGGGAAGGCCCTGAGTCTCTGCTGTTCTCTCATTTTAAGAATGCAGGGTGGGTGGGCTTCCACAAGTGTGAGTCCCTGAAATTGTTTGCAGAATATAATCACCTGGGTACCTTTTGAGACGAGATCAGATTCTTCAAAGGATCATGCCTCAAAAAAAACCCAGCTATTCAGCCCCTCTCTCATGTGGTCTAAGGACTTGTGACACTGACCTCACCTCAAAAAAAAAAAAAAAAGTTTGGTTTGTTGACCAAACTTACTGCCGTTGAGTCAGATCCAACTTCTAGCAACCCCTCCTTGGGTTTCTGAGGCAGTATCACTACGGAAGTAGATTGCCCAACTTCTGTCTGAGGAGTGGCTGGTGGGTTTGAACCACCAGCCTTCTAGTTAGCAGTCAAGTGCCTTAGGCACTCCACCACCTCAACTTTTTTTAAAATATAATTTATTTTTGTTGAGAATGGATGCACCAAAACATACACCAATTCAACCATTTCTACGCGCACGATTCAGCGACATTGATTACCTTCTTCAAGTTGTGCAACCACTCTCAGCCTCCTTTTCTGAGTTATTCCTCCATCATTAACATGAACGCACTGCCTCTTAAGGTTCATGTCTAATCCTTTGAGTTGCTGTTGTTAGTTTGATCCCGTACACCAAACCCAAAGCAAACCCATTGCCATTCAGCTGATCCTGATTCATAGTGATCCTATAGGACAGTGGAACAGCCCCATAGGTTTCCAAGGCTGTAATTCTTTATGGAAGTAGATTGCCATATCTTCTTCTCACAGAGTGGCTGGTGGGTTTGAACCACTGACCTTGCGGTTAGCAGCTGAGTGTTGAACCACTGCACCATCAGGGCTCCTCTTGATCCCATACGTATAGATCTTAAAAGAGCACAGTGCTCAAGGCAGACATTCTTTATTAGTGAAGCTAAACTATTATTTGGTTTTAAGAAGCTTCAGGGGTATTTCTGGTTTAAGGACTATCTCAGAGCAATGGAGCAATGGTTTGAGGATTCATCCAGCCTCTGTGGCTCCAGAATATCTGGATTCCATGATACTTTGAAATTCTGTTCTGCATTTTCCCCCTTTTGATCAGCATTCCTCTATAGAATCTTCGATCAAAATGTTCAATAATAGTAGTGGGGCACTATCCAGTTCTTCTGGTCTCATGGCAAAGGAGGCAGCTATTCAAGGAGGCTGGGAGCTTTGGAGAGACACAGAAGCCCCATCCCAGACCCACTGAATCTGACGGGATCTGAGCACTACCAGCATCACATCTCCAGGTGAGTGTTGTGCACAGCAACGTTGCCCAGCTCCGGCTCCCTTTGATCCTCCCTGTTATGGGGTGTACTGTGTCCTTCCCAAAAGATAATGCCTATGGCTTAATCCCTGCACCTGTGACTGTGACCTTACTTGGAAATGGGGTTGTGGTGGTTATGTTTGTGTGTCTACTTGGTTGGGCCTGGCTGAGTGGCTGGGCAGCTGGTGGTAGTTAGTCCCCATGATGAGACTGGCAATCAACTCCATGGTGGAATCTACCACAAGCAGCTGTATAGCTGCCTTAGGGAAATGTGGTCTGCTTCCTGTATATAAGCAGAAGCCTAGGGGAATGGTATCTAGCCTATGGCACGCTTAGACCCTGCATATAGCAGTGTTGTTGCTCAGCAGCCTGCTATGCTCTGCCAACCTTAGGACTTAAATGGACTTAAGTTAATGACCTGCCGTGTGGTTTGTTAACATCAGAACTGTGCCTTTTTACTTGTCAACCTTGGGCTTGGCAGCCTCAGCAGCCAGCAGTTGTCTGAGTGAAAAAAGCCTCTAGCTTCAGTGGGCTGGGAGCTAGAAGCAGAGCTGAAGTCCAAGGCTGAGGGGCTTTCACCCAGCCCCTAGAGCCTGGCACTTTGAACCTGGACTCAAAGCCTCCAAACTGTAAGAGAATAAACTCCTGTTTGTTAAGGCCATCCCATTTGTGGTATATTCTTGTCAGAGTGGCGCTAGGGAACCAGAACAAGGGTCTTTGCAGATGTAATCAGGTTGAGATGAGGTCATTAGGATGGACCCTAATCCAGCGTGACTGACTGGTGTCCTAAGAAGAAAAGACTCACAGACACATGGGGAGAATGTCATGTGATGATGGAGGCAGAGATTGAAATGATGCGTCTGTGAGCTAAGGAGCACCAAGGACTGCCAGCAACACCAAAGATGAAGACAGGCAAGGAACAGATTCTCCCTCCAAACCTTCAGAAGAGAGCATCGTTCTCCTGACACCTTGATTTGGGACTCCCTTTTTTTTTTTTTTTTCACTTGTTATTGTGATTTGGGTAAAAGTTTACAGTTTTCCGTTCAGTAGTTCATACATGTTTTGTGACACTGATCACAGTCTCTACAACACAACAGCTCTCTTCCACTGCCTCTCTGTGTTTACTGTTTCCATTTCTCCTCCTTTCCTGTCCCTTCCTGCCTTCTGAACTTTATCCCTGGGCAAATGCTGTCCTTTTGATCTCATAAGATTGGTTGTTCCAAGGGGTGCATACCTCCTTGGTGTTATCATTCACTTTATAGG